GAATTAATTTCAAAAGCAGAGGGAATCCGGAAGCACGTGCTGATCTGTTGATTCTGTGATCGAATGTCGCATATTTTTTATCTTCTGCTATAATCTTGAAAATCTGTTGAAGTTCACTCATCTAATCTGACAAGCAAAAAGGATTGTTAGCCCGTTTTCTGTCATTTGTATAAACAGGGTTCAGGCTTCCTGTGCTGAGAGCAGTGGTGTTCCCATGAGGGCAGGTAGCGGGAGATTGTATGTTCTCACATGAGGATGTTGGGAACCTAAAATCATCAGGTCACGGATACTAAGCATTTCATATTCCAAGTCCACACCATTTCATTTCATTTAATCCGTACCCGAGCGCATGCTGAGGAAATTTCCGAGGCCATGTACACCTTCCCATCGGAAGGGAAACTGTTGAAGATGGATTCCTGTTTGCGAAACAAAGGGCCTAAGATAATGTTTGCAGGATTCCAAGGGGGGTAACTTACTTCCAATATTATTTGCGATGTATCGAGATTTTAGAGGCGGTAAAGATAGAAATGGAATTCATCGGGTCACAATATCTAAATGTTGATAGCTTTAGAGATATTCTGAACAGAAAGGTAATGCTTTGATAGGTAACTCTTCATCTGAAAGGACAAAAGAGTAGCAGCCTATTATGAAACCAGGCATGCTCCCATTGGCCACACCTCTGAAATATGATTGCTTTCACTGTTAAAAATGATGCTAACAATATTTTCAATCACTGGATGGAAAAAGGCCCAGGAATAGACCATGGTGCGGATATATCACAGAGTCACATGATTCATGAAAAATTTCTGAACAGGAGACAAACCTGTCTGTACTCCTGGGTTTATCAACTTTGCCCATCTACAGAGTATGTCTTTTACTTGTTATTTCATGAATATTAGCATACCTACATTGGCTTTGTTCATTTTCTAGTTTTCATAAGCAACCAGAGGGATTTTTCTTTCTTTTTCTTTCTTTCTTTTTTTTTTTTTTCAAATTTTATTTTTTATTACAAAGGGTATTACATATGTGTCCATTTTTTTCCCCGCCCTAGACAGTCCCCTAGCCTCCCCTATTCCCCAGTGTCTTATGTCCATTGGTTAGGCTTATATGCATGCATACAAGTCCTTTGGTTGATCTCTTACCCCCTTACCTCCTTCCCCCGAACCCTCCCCGGCCTTCCCGATGCAGTTTGACACTCTGTTTGAGGCAGCTCTGCCTCTGTATCTATTATTGTTCAAAAGTTTATAATGGTCTCTTTGTGAGCTTAGAAAATGTACTATTTTTCTCTTTTGCGCAAAGAGGAAAAATGAATCTTTTCCATGACTTTTCCCTGAAAATCAGAGTTTAGACTTCGTGTTACAGATGAGGAGGCTGCCTGCAGTACATACTCTTGCTGGGCCTGTTTCCCAAGGTCTTGAGAAAGCGGGGTGCTGTTTGGGTACCCTAACATTTTCCTTTTAATTTTCCATGGTAAGACTAAGCTGCCTTGATAATAAATACCCAAAGTTTCCAGTTCATATTTCTCCTGTTATCTCTCCCCTTGGAAGTACAGTGGCAGCAAAATGAATGAAAGGATGGATTAAAGCGAGATGAATTATGTTCTGTTTCCCTGACATAGACTGTGATTCACTGTGTGTGAAATGGCCGGTGGATAGACCTGGGTCTGTGCTACTTAGGGGTTTCTAGCTGAGTCAGCTGAACTGAATTAGTGATTGATTTCTAGAAGCTTCCCTTAAGTAAACTTAATCTATTTTGGCTTTTTTATATCCTAGGTTCCCAAACCAGTAGATTATTCTTGCCAGCCTTGGTAAGTATTAAAAATATTTATGCAGCTGAGTTGACATGCCATACCCGTAGTTCAAGGGCGCCATAAAGGAGGGGGGCGGGTGCCAAACCACACTCCATGTCCATTTGTTGGATGGAGGTGTGTTCAAAGGCAATGACAAAAAAACTTTTAAAGACATACTTTACTCAGTACTGCTAGTTACTTAAGAAAATTGCTTAGCCAATGTGTGGGCTAACAGAATTAATCTTATATCCAAAAATTAGTTAAAAAAATAATTTAAATTGTTACTGGAGTTTTCTTGAGAAAGATGCTCACGGTACATTTCATTTCATAGTGTACATAGGAAAGGTGAAGTTTTGGGGTTGTGTGTGCACGTGTGTGTGTGTGTGTGTGCGCGCGCACGTGTGTGTGTTCCCTAAACTCCCTACAGCTCTGTCTAACCTGGTACCTATTGGCTTCTCTCCTTGTCTCATTCATTTATTGGATAAATATTTCCTGTGTGTTAACCATGGTTCATTTTACTCTTGTTAGCTTGGTAGAGCACTTGCGCTTGGAAGAATTAAAGGATGTCTCCGCATTATTCCTTCTGAAGCGGTGGAATTAGTTGGCACAGAAGTCAGGAGAGCTCAGAGCTACTACCAAGTTAAAGTCCTGGCGGTGCCTACTTGTAGCCTCTGCTCTTTTCCAGGCACATCACACAGATGCCTCTCCTTGTCTCCTCCAGGTTCGCCGGCGCCATGGAGAGGCTGCAGGCGGAGACTGAGCTTATAAACAGGCCGAACAGCACTTACCTGGTGAGGCTCCGGACCAAAGAGTCGGGCGAATATGCAATTAGCATTAAGTAAGTAGGACAAGCAATTTCACAGAAATAGAACTCCTGTGTGCAACTGCGCAGCCCCTCCGACATGTGTAACCCCGAAGTTGAAAAGCAAGGACCTAATTATAGCAGGAATAATGCTTCTATCCAGACAGGGCACTGCTACTTGAAAACATCCGCTAGAAAAACACAGTGAAGTGGTACAGGCTGCTAATTGGCATATTAGCTTTCGTCAATTGGGTGACTTGACGTGTGTATGTTTTTGGTAAATTCTAAGAGTATAAATAACTAGATTTTGTTCTATTTGGTTTTTCTATATTCCCCAGTGGACTTATTAAACACATTGAGTATAATGATTGGTCAAATCTAATCTCCCTTCTCCCTTCAAAGATTGGTTGTATCTTCAACCGATCTAGTAAATATATTTGGCAAATTAGTTGTCACCACTGTATTGGCATAGGTATATATTTTGTCTTCCGAATTAATTCCGGTAGCGTTATTGGGGCATGCCCTCTGGCCATTATTGATTTCTTCTGATTAAAACCACATTTATATTCATAAGTTATTCATTGCCCACAGGTACAATAATGAAGCAAAGCACATCAAGATTGTAACGAGAGACGGCTTATTTCACATTGCAGAAAATAGAAAATTTAAAAGTTTAATGGTAAGCATTGATTAGTTCGTTTCAATCTGTGGGCCTTATTTTTCTCTTATTGGGAAGGTCAGTTTAATTCTATAGTTTTATAGAAATTCTGCTCACTGAGAAGTTGTTTGAAGAGAATCATACTATCGTTTTGGCAGCAGATCCTGAAAATTCTAATTTTAGGAATTCCAGTTGTTTTATAGTGCCCTAGTCATGGTTTTCGTTGTAAAGCAAGTTTTAGATAGTATTTCAGAGTCTACACTCCTTATGAGTCAGAGCAATAGACAAATTCAAATACAGTGACCTTTCAGTTCTCTGTGTGAGTTTTGCCTTGTGTTGGATGAAACCCAGCAAATGTTGAATATCCACCTCTGTCCTCCCCTTCCTTCCTCCACTTCTACCTCCTCATTCAGGTAGAGGCAGGTATTTTAAATCATAGCACAAAAAGTCGTCATTGTAATTGTTGAAACACCTCTCACATTTAGGTTCATTTAGTATAAAATGCAATATACTGTCACATAGAAACACTTTTTGTATTTTCTGCTATTTTAAAAAATATATTTTTATTGATTTCAGAGAGGAAGGAAGAGGGAGAGAGAGAAATATCAAAGGTGAGAGAGAACCATTGATTGGCTGCCTCCTGCACTCCCCCTACCAGAGATCAAGCCCACAACCCCGGCATGTGCCCTGACCGGGAATCAATCCATGACCTCCGGGTTATAGGTTGACCACTCAACCACTGAGCCACGCCGGCTGGGCTGTTTTCTGCTATTTTAAATGCTCTGTGTTCTCCTTCATGCCCTTGTACAATTAAACATGAACAAGGCACCATTTTTACCATACAAGGATCTCATGGGAACTGTACATTTGAATTGAAATAGTATATATGCAATAGTTGCTTTACAAGAAAATATTTTAGAGAGGAAGAAAGAGGGAGAGAGAGAAATATCAAAGGTGAGAAAGAACCATTGATTGGCTGCCTCCTGCACTCCCCCTACCAGAGATCAAGCCCACAACCCCGGCATGTGCCCTGACCGGGAATCAATCCATGACCTCCGGGTTTAAAGGTTGACACTCAACCACTGAGCCACGCCGGCTGGGCTATTTTCTGCTATTTTAAATGCTCTGTGTTCCCCTTCATGACCTTGCACAATTAAACATGAACAAGGCACCATTTTTACCATACAAGGATCTCATGGGAACTGTACATTTGAATTGAAATAGTATATATGCAATAGTTGCTTTACAAGAAAAAAGATTGTTTAATAAAATATACAATTTTAAATAATTTAATACAGTTATTTAATAAAACATCCACTTTAAATAATTACAACCTAGTAATTGTATTAGTAGCTAAGAGTATTATGTATATGCCATATAGACAATGCCTATACCTCACTATACTGTATATGCATTGCTGAT